GCGGTAAAAGACACAGTAAAAAGGTTTTTAATACCCGCACGGGTATTACGTCTCTTGAAAAGTGATATTATGCCGATTTTTTTGACATTATATTAGTTTTTGTGACATTATGTAGGTTTTTATACAAGATGTTAACTCAGCACTAGCTATGGTAGTTGTACGTGTTGCCTAAACGTCATGAGGCTTCAGTTATTAATATTTAGCTATGAGGTGATGTAAAATCTGCTTCATAGATGACGTTACTGGGGGTAACGGCAATGCATAGGTACATAGTGAGGATTTGTGTGCTAATAATATGTGTTGATGATAAATCCATTGGATTCTTGTCTGAAATACACTTACTTGAGATTAAAAGCTAGACATTTTTATTCTTGTCCATTCTGGAAATTACATATTCAAATTTGCTAGATTTCAAAAACGAGAGAGGTAAGAAATTGTTACGAGTATATTCATTGTACACTGTCGAATTAAAAGTCATATACATGCCAACAGTATTTTACACAAAACGAGGTCGCGGTGGTGATTTACCCGTAGTTCTCTCCTCAAAGTTTTTGAAAACACAAAAAAACGTAAAAAATCGTAATTGACAACTTTAAAATATCCTGTCTTCCGAAAGGACAACATATAAATAACACATCGGGCACAGCTAATAGATATACTTCATTGGCAGCAAAGTCAGTAATGATTTTCTCACCCAGCCAATATCACTGACTTTATACACATGCAGACCAATACACACAATCATCCAAATACGATCTTGCTATTCAACCAAAGAACCAACTTTTTTCTCAGAGATGAAAACTATAGACCACTCGGCTTCACGAAACATATGCAACCAGCAATGCATGTATACGTATAGTTGAGCGATTCCTCCATAGATGGATGCTCACAACGATCCTAGTGAGCAAACTTAGAATATGTGCATATGTTTTGTGAGGCCAAATGGTCCTTGTCTGTAGTTTTTATTTTTAAGAAGAAATTTGGTTGAATAGCAAGATCGAATCTGGATGATTATGTGTATTGGTCTGCATGTGTATAATATCAGTGATATTCGCTGTGTGAGAAAATCATTACTGAATATGCTGCCAATGAAGTATATCTATTGGCTGTACCCGATGGGTTATTTTTATGTTGTGTGTGTAACTGAGGAGAATTATGGTAAATCATCAACGCGCCCGCGTTGTCTGTAATTACTATTAGCATGTATATGGCTTGTAACTCAAACGGTGTACAGTGAATATAATTATTTCTTATCGCTCTCATTTTTGAAATTCAGCAAATTGAGCAAGAACTCAATGTAATTATCATCAACATATACCACTTACAGCTTAGACCTCCAGTAATGCCATCTCAGAAGCAGATTGATAACGAGCCTCATGACGTTTAGGCAACACGTACAACTAAGTGCTAAGCTAACATCTTGTAGAAAAACCTACATAATGTCAAAAAAAAAACAGCATAATGGGTTATTACGCAGGTTTTTCTACAAGATATTAACTTAGCACTTAGTTGTACGTGTTGCCTAAACGTCATGAGGCTTGTCATTAATCTTTGGCTCTGATATGATGTAAAATATCGGCTTCTGAGATGGCAGTACTGGAGGTCTAAGCTGTAAGTTGTTTGTGTTGATGATAATTACATTGGGTTCTTGTCTCAAATACACTTAATTGAGCTTCAAAGCTAGCTGCGCATTCACTTTTTCTTATCTAGTCTGGAAATTACATATACAAACTTACTGAATTTCAAAAATGAGAGATACAATAAATAATTATATTCACTGTACCCTGTCGAATTACAAGCCATATACATGCTAACAGTAACTACACACAACGCGGGTGATGATTTCCCTCATTCTCCTCAGTTTTTCGTAATTTATAACTTTAAACATAACCTCTCTTCAGAAAGCACAACATAAAAATAACACGTCGGGCACAGTCAATAGATATACTTCATTGGTACCATATTTAGTAATGATTTTCTTACACAGCAAATATCACTCATTTTATATAAAGTTGTCGAGTTCATGCTTGCGTGAACAACATATGTTGTCAACAATTATCCCTGAATATAGACAACATTATCTAGATGCAAAAAAAACACCAGAAGCTTGTTAGAAAAACAAAAAAATATCCAATTCGCACAACGTGATGAAGGCTGCCTGGAATGTGGTTTCAGACATATACGGAAAAAATGGAGTATCAGAAAACATTGTATTATATGTGATAATGGATTAGCCATTAGAAATCCACAGAAAATGTCTAATTATTTTAACAACTACCTATTTTAAACAGGCTCCTTTGGATATTATTCAAAAAAATATCTAAGAGCACCAGTCCAGTTCCAAGTGATGCGACCAAAAATTTGTTGTGTTTTTATACTCGTTCTTGGAAGAGGAATTCTATAAACTAATTAGTGATAAGTTAAAAAACAGGCGTTCTTCAGGCACCGATGAAGTTCCGAATTTCTTAGTCACGAACATTTTATTGTACATAACCAAACCTCTTCTTTTTGGTTGGCCTTGCAAATTATATATAATATATTTTTACCTCCCTGAACGTCCCAGAACTATAGAAAGATACGTACCAATACCTAATTGTGATCATTATATCCCAGCAAAGTCCCAGATATACAGAAGTGTGTTATAGGTTGAGTCACAAAATGTTGCGTTTCCGATATTATTTTTTTAAACGTTTGGTAAACACATTCATGAGGGAGCTATTAGTTTAGTTTAGTAAAGATCCATTAGCGACAGTACGCGGCTTGATTTTAGGAATTTTATAATTTGGGGTTCAAGAAGCAAGTCAGGGAGGCACATCTTTGTCTGCAGTGTGCTGACTTCCCTGGGGTGCAGATTGAAATCCAAGCGAGGACGAGACAAGCAGAGCTTAAAGTAGACGCGGGTTAACTAAACGCCTGGTCTTATTCTCCACCCAAACATATCCATATTGCTGAAAACCGTTCATCGCTTTGGGCTTATCGCACCATTACCGCTTGCTAGCTTGACCGCATACTGCGCTTTAACCGTTGCTTTTTAGCCGCTTTTGATTCCGTTCGACCCAGAGTTAACCGATTGCCCTCCTTCTCCGCTCTATCGCTAGGGTAGCTAGATTCAGACAGGGATTTCTGTCATTTGTAGATATAACTTGAGACATCCTGACCGTGCATGAAGTGTATATTCTTGCTGCTAATATACCAGGTTGTGTTATAAGTCTTGCTTTTAATCACAAATACCATCCTGCCTGAAGTAAGAGATACAAAAAGGGAAGTAGAAGTAGAAAGTAAGTATCTTGAGTCTGACCATTTGAGCGTAAAGCATCAAATCCCTGAATTATTTTCTTCACTGAAGCTACCCAGGTGACTGTTTCAGTCGATAGTGATGTCTCCACACTCTAAACAGGAGGCTGGCGCCCGAGGAGTTGCTGAACTAGAGAGGCAGGTAGTTCGCCAGTTATTGACCCCGAGGAAATAGCGTTACATTATTATTAAAAAAAAAACATCCAGCAGACGCTCGCGAAATGTATCCTATTCCGCCAAATATCGTTATTATCTGAACGAGTCAACCTACTTGACGTCATTTTAATGTTGCACGGTGGGATGTTTCACACTCCTACATGGACCAAATTTCACAGACGTTCACGAAATGTAACGTAATTCAGCGATTTACGTTATTCCTTGAATGAGTCAGCATACTTGACGTGATTTTAATACTGCTTGGTAGGGTGTTTCACATTTCTGCATGGACCAGATTTCGCAGACGCTGACGAAATGTGATGACGTGATTTCATGACGAGCCAACCTGCTTGACGTTATTTTAATGTTGCATGTTGAGGAGTTTAACTTTCCTGTATGGATCACACTTCGCAGAAGCTCACGAAATGTATCCTAATTGGTCCAATAATCACGTTATTCATAGAGTGAGTTAACCTAGTTGACATCATTTTTATGTTTGCATGGTGGGGGTTTCGCGCTTTTGAGTTGATCAAATTTCACAGATGCTCACGAAATGTATCCTAAACCGCTGAATATCATGATTCCCGAACGAGTCGACCTATTTGACATCATTTTGTTATTGCATGTTCGGGTGTTTCACGCTCGCGAAATGTATCTCATCTGATAATTATCAAAGCTTCTAAAACGGTCAACAACTATATCTTTCTCTTTATTGCCGACATCACAGCTACGTATCAAACAAAGTGAATTTTGAGATAAACCAGTTGACATAAGCAACCCTGTACGGTTCTCACTCTGTATGCGCTAAGTGAGAATATATAATATACTTTGTTTTGTTGTAAGTGTTTCAATATACGGACCTCGTTATGTTAGGAGCTCAGTCGGTCCTCACTTTGTCCGATAAACGAGTCATACATTTAAAATAGCTTTTTCCGCGTATACTCGCCACTTTTAGATACAACAATGGCGCCCTACCTGATCATGCCAAAAACAACATTTGTAGCTGAATTCCTTCTGGTGGTCCTCACTTTGTATATCCATATATATAAAAATGAATGTCTGTATGTCCTTTGTAGAATCGTATTCGATCATGTGATGATCTTTAGTAAAGTTGTTGTGCATGAGGCCACGAAGGTTTCCGAGTTGGTACGACCAATTTTCTACAGATGGCGCCACTGTCATTCCAATGATTTTCATATATTGATAGTTCATACTGATTTGAATTGAAGCGAAAACAGCGCACCAATGATGACGTTTCGAGTTGTTGGTGACATAAGAATTTATGTAAATTGTGAAATTCATGTCCGGCTCACATTGTGCCTATTTTTATATTTAGGATCGTTTTTCGAATAGGTTTTTGAATCCCATTGTGAGTTAAATTGATTCAAATAAACACTGCCAGTTATACCACGTACATCGCCCGCTGATGAACTTAATGTATGTCTCAAATCATCAGTTTTATGGCGTCATTTACAGAGATTGATTTTGAGAACCAACATGCGTGTACAACTACAAAGGGATGCATCGGCTGGAAATTTGCAAAACAGTTAATGGATATTGGAAATGGGCGAATGCTAATTGATGAATATACGCAATGTATGACCTTTTCAGAAAACTTCTGTAACATCACAGGAAGTATAGACGTATTGGTGCAAAAAGTTTTCCCAAAAATTGCACAGTACTACAAAAATCATCAGTGCCTTAGTACGCATGCAATATTAGCGGCCAGGAACAATGATGTCAATACCATCAACTTCACTATTCAGAATGGAATACCCGGCGAAACGACAACATATAAGTCCATCGATACTGTGGTGAATCAAGACGAAGTTGTCAACTATCTAACTGAATTCTTGAATTCGCTTGATTTGCCAGGCATGCCACTGCACGTTTTTATATTGAAAATTGCCGTACTCATCATTCTTCTTCGAAACATAAATTCACCGCGACTTTGTAACGGAACCAGACTCTCAGTCCAGAAAATGATGAACAATGTTATCGAGGCAACAATTTTATTTGGAAAATTCAAAGGTAAAGACGTACTGTTGCCACGTATTCCAATCATACCGACAGATATGCCATTCGAATTCAATTGCTTGCAGTTCCCGTTGAGACTCGCTTTCGCAATAACTATCAACAAAGCACAAGGGCAATCGTTGCAAGTGTGTGGATTACATTTGGAGAATCCTTGCTTCTCATATGGGCAGCTCTATGTGGCCTTTTCATGCGTCGGAAATCCTTCTGATTTATTCATTTACGCACCAGATGGAAAAACAAGAAATATTGTGTATCCCATAGCACTTCAATAAATATCGAATTGAAACGAAACGCTGCAATGTTACAATTTTTTCGAAATGAACAAAATCAATAAAATGACTCAAAATGAATTGAACATTTGTGTAATTTCTTTCCTTCAAATTTATTTCGGGTGGTGGTGTAGCAACTCGCGCAGGATAAATCTAATATACCATATAATATAAAAGAAAACCACATTAAGCCATTTTTAAGCACATATTGACCTAAACATGGCTGCATAAATAATATTCCAAAGTTTTTCTCATTCCGTCACGGCAACAGTGACCCCCCTATACAGTGTCCTATTGGGGATGAGAAATATTCTAACCATGATAGGTCACTAAGCGCTTTATGCTCGAATATTCCACTTAAATAAATCTACTTCACACTACTACACCGACTGCAGTATCATTCGAATATGAAGCTCCTCGCGAAAAAATCACAAATGATACTGAGGAGTTCTAAGCGCGTCACCGGCACTGCATCTATCGCAAGCTCCCGATCATTCACGAATGAAGGGCCGAGTCCGCGATTAAAATAAACAGTTGAACTGTTATTCAAAATATTTAATTGCACCTTTTCTACTAAACTAAATTACCTAAACTATATAAAAGTGTAACAAACTAGGTACATAGTTTGCTCTTTTCGAGAAAATTAGCTTAGTAGTATATTATTTTAAATTAAACTGGTTTGAGAAAATTAATTTTAATTAAACTGAACAATTTAGGTTAATTAAAAAATGTATTATGGGTATTGACAATTTTTGTTTAACTGACTATTCAATTGACCATATAAGATCCATGTTGAAAGGCCTATGTAGGCACGCCGTTTCGTATAAAGAATGAGATCGCACAGTCATATGGGTTCTGCCCACCTGTTCTTCATCGTACATTTGCCTTGAATGATAGAGATACATTTTCGATATACGCCAGGAAGATTTGGCACGTTCCTGGGTGTTTTTTTCACAGGGGAAACCTTTTATGGCCAATCTCAGTGTTGCCCTGCCGGCATATCCTGCCCGAAGCGTGAGATTGTCCAGAAATGGCACTAAAATGTCTTAGTCGTTCGCCACATATCCCACCATGGTATTACTTGCAGCATTTCTTCATAGCTTTGCGCTTGGTGCTCATACCGGGTATTAGTCATCAATCCGCTATCGTACACATACGTACTTTTATACCTATGTACACATATACAACCTAGCAAAATAGAAACCTACCATTGGTTCCTTGGTCTATTTTTGTTCTGCCGTGCCTTACTCAGCTTAATTCAACTCACAGTTGGTTGAATATCTGCCCACTTTCCCTCGCGTATATGCGTAGCAAAATTGTTAGCAGTGAGCCTTTCGACGAGCGTCTGTTCCAGCTGTGTCTGGTAGTCAACCCACCTACTACATAGGAGTAGGTGATCAGAAGTATCCTCCTCCATTGCAATATACGCAATTTGCGTACTCTCTCTTTCCTACCCTCCTCAGGTTGCTGTCAAACAATCATGTCCGGTGAGGAATTGTGCGGTGTAGTAATGTCCGCACCGCTCCCTTGTCAATCCAAGTTTTAATATCTGGGATCAGCCTTCTGGCCCATGCACCATGGACAAAAAGTCCCTCTCTTCCATCGCTTGTAGCTTCGACGCCCCTTTTATAGAGCGCACATTTCTCCACAGCCAGCAAATCAATTGGTTTGATACCAGCCACCACCAGCAGTGCATCGGTCGACACCGTTCTGTAAGCGCATACCTCGCACAGCTTTACTTTTCGCTGGCTTCTCAATATTAGCTGTTCATACTTCTTTTACCTCGAGGCCTTGTTATATGGTATACGAGTATGTGAGCTCCATACAGCATAATGGAGTTTGCCACCCCTGCCAAAATCTTGCTTCTCTCACTACTGGCGCCTCTGCCAGATAGCATTAGCCGTATAAGAGATGCAAAGACCTCATTTACCTTGTCATTGGTGTCTAATATGTTCATTTATTTTCAGATCTTTGTCAAGCCAGACACTCATATACCTAATTGCATTTTGCCTCCGAATCTCTGAAGTATCAACCTTAACAGCTAATGAAGTTAGCTTCTGTCTAGTAGAAAGTATAACTACTTCCGTCTTCTCAGGAGGTAATTTTCTTCCAGTTATATGGTAATTCTCGTGATTCCATATACCAAGAGGACTTCAAGTGTATCTTGCTAGTCAGTAACATCGCAAGGTCGTCAGCATACCCTTTCAAGCGAATTCCCTACAGCATCTGCAACCGAAAAGCTCCATCGTAGAACAAGCTCCAAAGCAACGGCCATAGGAGCGAGCCCTGCGGCACTCTCATGGTTACCTTAATCGTCTTTTGCCCTACCGTAAGTGCTCTCTCGTCAAAGTAGCTTTTTATTATATTCCAAAGAAAGCTTGGGGTGTCTAGCTTCTCGAGAGATTCGACGATTTTCTGCCTTTATGACGTGTTAACGGCATTCTTAACACCAAAAGCAACCATAACTACTGTAGCTGCCGCTATCCACTACTTTCGCCAGCTATACCACAGCACTAAGCGCATCTAAGGCAGACGTTCCCTTTCTGGAACCATATTGCGAAAGAGACGGGCCCGTTCTTTTGATCGACGTATTTTCTTAGCCTACCTTCTATCAGTCGTTCTATAAGCTTTACAAGTGAACTCAGCATACTTCCCTATCGGTGGGTTTCGGAGGTTTTGGGATGAGTTCCAAACCAGCCTCCTTCCACCTCTGCGGAGACTCCCGTTCTCAAGCGTCATTCATCACAGTATCTCTTTAATCAGCGCTTTCACGATCTCGTTTGGTATTTTCAAGTGCGTTGTAGCTTTTTACAGCTTACTCAAGGTGAACTCTGGTATGTCCAAAGGCTCCTCAAATTTCCATTCGGTGAATGAGCGCTTCGGAAACAATTCCTCTACAATTCTTATTTCTTGTTCAGTATCCAGGTCTGTGAGTTTTGGCTTTTCCATAGCTATTTTGTATGCCCGTAAACTTCGTTTTCTAAGTCATTTATTAAGTCTTTCAACATCCTCCGTTTAGAGCTTACTATGAGCTTTTCTAGTTCTATTTTGCCATATTGATTGTTTTTTGAACTCAAGCATTAGAACGATATTCCTTATTCAAATTTGCTCTACGGTATTTTCTAGTTTCTCTTGTCATTCTACGTCTGATAGTTAGGTATTCTATTAAATTTTGTAATCGGTGATAGAAGTCTATTTATTGCATTCATTCACTTTTGCATAATGCTCCAATGAATTAAACACAGACTGTCGACTGTATCTTCAGGCATTGCCATGTTTTATATCGACCAACAAGGTAAACTCACAAGCCCATGTCAAACAAGTCAGTGAATAAGCGTAACTGTGGAAGATCCATACATTGATGAGAAAAATTTCAAGCCAGTGAGACAAAACTAAAATAAGTATGTCAGCGAACTCAATAAATAAGCTACAAAAGCTTTCTCTACGATATTTTCATACCTACGTTTTTGAAGTTGTCATTAGGCCGCGTATAAATTACCAAGCTTCATTATTATGAAAATTATGTAGAAAAAATGCTAAGTTTTATCATGGGTATATTAAAATTTGCTTCAAGATATTTATCTGGTGGGAAAATGTATTTCAAAGCGAGCAATATTTTTTTTGGGTTAAGTGCCATCTTAGTACATGAATCTTTCCATAATCATATCGAAAACTCTTGCAGACTTTTATTTTCCAATTGTTGTAAAATAATCGTACTGAAAAACAAAAATATCTACTTTTTATGGACACAACAAATTTCGACTTTTCAGTCATTATTTTGGAGAAAATTTCTTGTACAACATTTAACAACATTTTCGAGGGAAGTTAATAGAAAACATCAAAAATAACAGCATGAGAAGTTGAAAATGTGATTATTTGAAGGCAATAAGCGGTATTTCTTTAAATGCTTCGAGTGAACATTTGAAAATATACGTAATATTGCGATTACTCAGATCATACGTGTTTAGGATAGAAATAGTATGAAAATACACAAAAAAAACATGCGATTTACAATAAATTATTTATTTTTAGAAACCTTACCACTCTGTATATCAAGAATTAGGACACTTAGGACATACGTTCATGTGAAGAATTCTTCTTAAAATGGTCTCACAAATCGGCCCTTTGTATATTGAAATTCAATTAGGAAGGTACTGTGAAATGGCCTAATATTAACTATTTAAACAAACATTAATGTAGTTTTATTTTATTTCATCGATTCATCCTTATTGGATAACATTTCAGTTGGAATATGTTACTAGGTCGGAATAGAAGTCGTGGGAAAATCATAATATTCATAGAAATTTGGCATATTACCCTTGTACCGCATAAAAATCTGACAGGCAGCCCATAGCTACATTGTTTAGCCAGACAATGATGATCTTACCTTATTATCATTAATGTACCATGAAATATTAGCGGGCGGATCAGATCCTGGAGAGTAACATTCAGCATTTACTGTTTGTCCAATTTCTACCTTCGAGGTTGGCTCTGTCCGCAATATGGGATTGTCATTTGGAAGCTCTGGAACATAGAGAATGCAAAACTATTTTATTGAAAATGATTTTACTTAATTTTTGATTTTATCCAACATTTTCGATAATACACTCGTAGCTTCACGAAGCCTGGTAAAGGATTTTCATAGTATATATTAAGATACTCCTGCAAAATTAAAATGAGAATTTGGTAGCTAGATAACTTTGGAATTAGGTCATAGGAAAAATAGTACATTCATTGTCTTTTTTGACAAGAGGGTCATCATTGTTTGAGTAGTAATGACCTCAAGCAAGCCATGTATAAAATATTTTTCATCATTAACACCTAATGTCACTATATTCGATTCTTTTAGAATTAAATATAGGTACTCAATTTGCGATGAAGCTCAAATCAACCATCATTATGTTCCCTACTTTCTCTGTAGAATTGTAATGGTGGCTCCGAGGGTGACACAAGATCTTTCGGACTGTTTTTAATTAAACCAATAAAGAATTTAATTAATAAAC